ACATACTTTAGATTGCCCATATATTAGAATTTAAATTTGATGTTTACTAATTAAATTAGGGTTTCGTGGTAATAATAAATTTGAAATTTAATAAATATTTGAAACCATAATTATTATAAAAATAAAAAACATAATGCAATTATTTTAATAATAATATGTATTTTTTACAATTTTGTATTAATAAAATATATTTGAAATCTAACTATCATAATTATATAAAAAACGCATTTATATGATTTTATTATTTATAAACCCATCATTATAAATCAAGAGACCTGAATGAAAACATAAGGTTCCTATGAATTACGCAATCTAAATCAGTGTTTATCCAAACTACATTATCCTTTCTAAAAGTATTATTATGTTGGCATCTCAATAATGATTTCTAGTGGTTAAAAAAATTATTAAATTGTTCCTTTTTAAAATTATATTAATTCCTATATTTAATTATTTTATAATCAATATGATGATAATTTTTTAATTATTCCCAAAAAAATTAATATTTGTTATTATAATAAAGATGTCTCTTTAATTTTATTGAAATACAAATATTTTCACTTGAATATAAGTCCTTAAAATATATCAAATTTTGGAAACCTTAAGTAATGATTTTTTATGAATTCTAAGAGTGTTAACATGAATTATAATTCTATTAAATTAAAACTTTTTATTCATTAATTATTTCTATTAAAATAATTCTATTAGAGGCATATATAAAGATTATCTAATTTATCAAAAGGAATAATAATAATGTATAGGAAACCTTTGAAGGTGATCCTTCCTTCTTTACCAAAATAACCCACAATAAACTAAAAAGATTCAAATTCTGTTATAAAACAATAATCAAAATAATCTCAATTTCCAGCTAAAAATAAAAACCCCCTGCAAATTTAAGCAGATACAACTAAACAATAAATACAATCTAATAAGCCACAAAATTATTAAAATAGCAATAAAACATATATATAAATTACTTAAACTAATACTTAGTAACTATAATTTTAATAAAATGTTGTGGATGTTGCTAATTAATAGAATAAATTTATAGGCAATTCTCAATGTATTCCAAAAAAATAAGTTAGAGGAGAATCTCTTCAATAAAGTACTTTTCATTATGGAGATTAGAAATAAAAGCCACAGAAATAAATTAATTATCAAAAAACAGAAAGCTAAAACCCAAATTAATATAAATATTAAATAAAAAAGGAAGAACATGATAGAGAGAAAAATAAAGAGGAAAAGTCATATTAACATTCTATAAATAAGTCTAGCTAAAAATAATAGTAAAATATACAAAATCATGATTAATAATTATAACAAAGTTCTAAAGAATATCCAATAGCTTTATTTTTAGGTAACTCTGGAGTTGGTAAAACCTCATTAATAAAAATTATATTTAAAGATTCTATTAGTAATTTAAAAGAATTTTAATTATATCCAGCAAAAATAGATGATTTTTTAATTTATAATTTTGTTGATACAAAAGGATTTGATTTTGAATCGAATATAAATGAAAGAGAAGAATAAATAAAACTCTATTAATCAATATTTTATGAATATCCAAATAAGGTAGGAGCTCTATTTGTAGTTGTTAATTTTGAAAGAACTGATCTAATGAAAAAAAAATTATTATCAATATATAAATTCTTCAGAAAATTTTCCTCTATTATAAGCATTATTGTAACAGAAATGTAATTAAGTGATAATCAAAATAAAAGTGAAGCTGAATTGAAAAAAAATTTTGCATATTTCAAACCTTAAAATATAATATTTGTAAGAAGAGATACACGAAGAGATGAATTAATATAAAAATTGAATGAAAAATCATTAAATAAAATTTAAGCTAATTATGAATTCAATGTTACAGATACTATTTTTGAAAAAGAAGATGAATAAGAAATGAAAAAGATATAAAATTAACTGATGTCAAGATTTATAAAATGAATTTATTTATTTTTGTTTATAAAATAAATTATGTTATGATGTACAAGGTTCTGCAAAAAGATTCTAAACAATAAATTATTGAAAGAATTTATCATCAATATAAAATAAGATAATGTACCAGATATTGAGAGTATTATTGAATAATATAATTTTGGATGAGAAATTATAGGTGAAAGTATAATCATATTATTTATTATTGGATATCTAATGAAGTTTTAAGAAAAGAGAATGAATAATCAGATATTTTGAGTGCAGAATAAGAGGCATACTAATTAATGAAATATGATTTGTCTTTTTAAGGAGCAACTAAAAGTTCAATAATAATTTCAAATTATACTTCGTAGCTTAGAATAAAGTTTTTAGTTAAATTATTAACTATTATAATAATTATTGCTTTGAGTAAATTGATATCTGAAGATAACAACTTTTCCTGATAAAATGATTACAACTAAAAAAAATTTATATGAAATTAGAAAATTATATAATTATATTTTAATATTAATATAGAGGAGAAAAGTTCAATAACAATGTAAAACGAATTAAAAAATAATTAATGAAATTTGATAAAAAGAATTTATCTCATTTCTTAAATTGTAATAAGATTTACAACCAAACTAAAATTTTGGTTGCATTTTTTTAATTATAACTCTTTAAATTTGTCATATGAGATCAAAAATTATAAAATGGTTAAGAAAATGTTCCAAAGTCACAAATAGGTGTCGTATTTAAGGAAACACTATATGTGGAAAATTGTCTCTTATGAATACAATTTACTATCCTGGATCTATGTTTATAGATTATAATGTGGATGTTATAAATTTCTTCAAGAAAAATAAAATTGTTTTCATTGGAAACAGTGTTTATAGTTATACTTATAAAATGTAATCTTTTATTAAAATTAAATAGTATAATTCAAAAAAACAAATTCCTGAATTTTATTTTGAGAATTTTTAAATATCGGATTTTAAATTTATAAGTTATAATATTTTAATGAATTTATATTAAAATTAAAAATAATTATATTAATGTAAAATCTAATAAGATAAAAAATTAGTAATTTATATACTTGCTTATCAATTTAAATTAAGTATAATAAACAATTAATTTCTTTAATTTATCAAGAAGAAAATTTTGTTAAAAATGTTATTTTTTCAATTTATACTAAGATGTCTTGATTCCT